CTTACCTCAGAGAAAGAGTCGTCTCTCCTTTCTAGAGGAAAGTCCACCTGAATTTGGATCACTTCCCACTTTTCCGGGATTCTACTTCATAATTACTACTCCTTCATTCTCTCATATCCTTCAGTCTCATACTCTTCATGACCTCTTTCCTTTCTGTTCAACCAAAAACAACTTAACTTTGTTAACAATTCTACTGCCATTTATAATACCTGTGTTTCCTTATGCTTAGTACTAAAACTTAGTGACCTGTAGTTTTTATCTCCTTTCTCTCTTATTCATGTCATATGTATATTCTGTCCCTTACCTCTATCACTCTACTAAAAGAGTTATTGCCCAATACTGTTTCTTTCAATTCTTATCTTCTTTGTGACATCTGGCAATGGTGATTACTTCCTACTTCTATAAGAGCTTTTCTTGGTTTCAACGATCTAATTCTTTTCTAGTGTTCTTCCATTCTCTCAGAAATGCTTTTTCTTACTCCTCTGCGAATTCCTCTTTTTCTTTCTCCCTCATTGTGAGTAGCCCCCCCCAAAAAGTTCTGTAGTCAGTTCTTTGCCCTTCTTTCATTCACTTGTATATCATACACATTTACTAATATTCTCAGGGCTCCAGACAATGCCTTTATACTAACATTTTCTCTTCCTATTACTTTCTTCCACTATGACTTGAATACAAATCCTTTCTATTTCCTAATTACCCACTCTCTGAAGCTGATCTCACCATGTTCTGTAAATCCGTCCCATTCATCAGTCCATTTTTGTCAGTTTTACTGTTATAGGTTGATTCTATTCTCCTCAAAAAGACATGCTGAAGCTCTCAGAATATAACCTGATTTGGAACCAGGGTCTCTACAGACCCTTTTACAATGAGGTCATTGAGGTGGGTCATAACCCAATATGATTGGTGTCCTTATAGGAAGAGGAAATTTGGACACAAAGACAGATGTGTACAGAGGGAGAATGTTAGGTGAACATGAGGGTAGAGATTAGGGTGACGAATCTGCAAACTGATGAACCCCAAAGATTTCTGGCAAAAAACTAAGAGAGAGATAAGGAACCAATTCTTCAAAGCTCTCAGAAGAAACCAATCCTCCTGACACTTTGATCTCTGACTTCTAGCTTCCAGAACTGTATTTATCAGGCAGTCCACGTATCAGATAATACATTTCTGTAGTTTAACCCACCTAATCTGTGGTACTTTGTTACAGCAGCCCTAGTGCACTGATACATCCACCAAAACTCTGATCTGCAGACTAGAAGACCTAGACTCATTCTGGGCTCTCACCTTTTATTCATCAACTATATCCAATTTGGTGTTGAAGACTTTATTCCTCTAAAACGACTTCTAATATCTTTACTCTCTTATATTCCATTGCAACCTTTTCTTTTTTTCTTTTTTTGAGACAGAGTCTCACTATGTAGCCCTGGGTAGAGTGCTGTGGTGTCACAGCTCACAGCAACCTCAAACTCTTGGGCTAAAGCAATTCTCTTGCCTCAATCTCCCACCATTGCCACCTTTTCTTCTACCATTTTTATTGCTGTTGTCTTCACTTTAGTCCCATCCTTCATCATTTCACATCTTAATTACTATAAAAGTCTCTGGCTAGTCTCTCTGAATCCAAAATTATCTCTTAAAATATATAATTTATATTGCTTTCATCATATTAGTGCCATGGTCAAGATGTGCTTATAGTGCCATATTGCCTACTATGCTAAATCTAAGTTTGGCATTAGCAGTCCCTCATAATTTGGATCCATCTTGCCCATTCAATCTTCTGTCTCCTTATACATGTCATACTTATTTCGTTCTTTGAGTCCTGCTCCTGCTGCTCTCTCCTCCCCACTCAAAATACTTTACCTTTTTTCCTTTCATCCAAACCTGTTTGTCTTTCAAGTCATGATCAATTTTTACTGACTGTGACTACTTTAGCCCATACCGTTATCCTTTGTCCTTGCTGAATTCTACTCAGTACCTTCCATGTTAGCACCAAGTGGTAGTCTTATGTTTTACGTGGATTTACACATATTTACATATTTCTTTCCATCAGCTTATAGGACATAGCACTTGTTAATTAGTTGATCAAACTCTAAAAGTTGGAATAAGGAGGAGATTGGATACCAAAGAAAAAGAAATTTTGGGCCAGAAAAATGAAGGAGAATTAGTTTAAGTCGACATTTCTCAAAATGTTACCTATTTGTGCATGTGTCCAGGTGTAACCTGGACCAGTATCTTAATTATTTAGGATGCTTGATAAAACATAGATTCTTAAACCCCATTACAGACCTACTGGATCAGACTCAGAAGCCCAGAAATATGAAGTTTTAAAGGTAATTCAAATCATTCTTAGTTATACCAAGTCTGAGAACCACTAGTTAGTGAAGAGGACTGGAGATAGATGCTGAAAGGGAACAGCTGTTCTTATGTTTACTTGGCACATATGCTTTTCATCCTGGCTAACAACAGAATGAAATAATTTCACATGATCATGATTTGCTTTGAGGCAATTCTCCCTCTTCAATACATTGCTTTGAGTACAGCCATCCTTTCTTCCATGGCAAGGTATTTCAAGTATCTCATCGCAAATATGGGCTGATATAGAGTTTCACAAAGAAAAGAAATTTTGTGGCACTCCAAGGAAAGGTAACTGAGACGGCTGGGTTGGTTTTATTTTCTTTGGGAAGTAAAATTTAACCAGAAACATGCTGTAGATTGTGGAATTCAAGTTTGGTAGCATGGAGAGAGAAAAAAAAAAAAACCAATTCTGAGATCTAGTTGCTTAAGCTTTTAATTGGAACCGTGCGATAGCTAACACATGTAGCTGATTTAGATAAAAACTGAGGGCCCTCTCACTGGCTCACACCGAACAGGATTTCTGCAGTTGAGTACTACAGAAGCGAGATAACAGAATTAGATACGATCGAGGAGAAGAAGAAAAATGCACAAAAGTCCTTGAATTAAAATGAATTGAAACCTTCTGGGAGAAAAGCTATTTGGTAAGCTCCATTAAGTCTATTGTAGATAGCTTTATTTGACAAAGCAGCATCCTGGCATGTGGAACAGGAAAGAAAATAGCTATAAGATGATCTGTCAGGGACTTTCCAGTCTCTAAACGAATAAGATTCCGTGCAGTAGCCAATATAGCTTTTAACTCAAAAGAGATACTGAGGCAAAATGCAATTATATAACCCTAGTAAGTGCATTCAATCTGAATCTCCCGTACAGCCCTCTCTTCCCCCAATAACTTCTTAAACTCAGCAATTTATCAAGTGGATGCTCAAACTTACGGCTGCATTTATTTCATGGTAACACTGTATAAATGCTGTATATAATACTGTAGATACTGGGTTGGGGGGGGGAAGATCATGTAAGTCAAAGATTAATCAGCGATAAAACACCCTGGCTAAGCACTTAAATAGTCTGAATAGCTCAATTTTTATTAAACTCTTTTGTTTATTTTGCCTGTGTTTACAGTATTATTTACAGTAATTAGTTCACTGTTCTGAAAATGCTAATGAACCACTGCTCTTCCATGTTGAAAGATCTGACATATGGCAAAATAGAGAAATTTCAGATGTGATAGCTAGTGATGTCTTCTAAAAAGTTTGACTGACTTTGACTGACTTGATGGTTTTCTTTCTCTGAGAGTTTCTGTTTATGGAATTAAGACTCTAAGACCCCTCAAGTAGCTATAGGGAACCAGAAAATACAGATTTGACTTATAACATCTCTCTTTCTCTCTCTGTCTCTCTGTATCTCTCTCTCTCTTTCTCTCTCTCTCTCTCTCACACAGCAGGGGCATTATCCCTATATTATACCCTATATTTCCAATGTCTACCACAGTCCTTGGCATGTGATAGTTATTAAATGAATGGATGGACTCAACCATCAAAATAATCCCTATTAGATGCTTTTCATAATGTACTTTTTACAGGTGTGGAAGCTGAGGCTCAGTAGGGAAGAAGTCCCTTTAGGTCAAGAAGGACAGAGCTGGGACTAGAAGTCAGGTGTTTCAACTTTAGATCCTACCTTCTTACAACTCTCCTGATCTAACTCTCCTGATTAGCTGGAATGGTTTACCTGAAAAGACTGGTCTTATGGCTTACATTTTATTCTTCCCCATGGTAATCTCCTATCTAAGATAGTTTATTATGAAATTGGAGGGTAGGGTGTTGTCCTATTGTTCAAAAAGTTTGCTCTATGCGTCTTACTGGGGACCTACATCATGGCCATTATAGTGAGGTCCAGACTATACTAGGTAAGAGCAAAAGCTTTTACCTGGACAACCGTTTGTGGACTCCTGTTTGATTTCCAGTATATGCCCAAGTAACCACAATTGAAGGCAGGAGATAGGTAGACTGTCATATATGTTTCAGACATTTCCCTTCGGTTTGTAAATTCTTTTTTAACTTTGTGACTTTTTTTAACAGAAATATTTAACTTTTATGTAGATACATTTATCAAAAATCTTTTATGAATTCTATCTTTGGAGATCTTCACCCCAAATTATATAACCAACTCCCATATTTTCCACAATTTCCTTTGCTATATAGATTTTGTTAACATTTAAATCCATCTGTTATTAATTTTGGTGTAAGGTATAAGTGATGTAGAGATTTAACTATCTTTCCTGAAACATTGGTTAGTTACCTATTTGTGCATATGCTCTCTTCTGGTTTCCACTGCAGAACATATTATTAATAAATCTAAGCCAAAAATAGAACAATGCTGCCTAAATGCTCAGTGCTTCTTGGAAAAGAAAGCCCACTTTTAATTAGGCACTTCAATGGAAGATGGGGATAAATGAAGACCGCAGAAAATCCTGTAGCTACAGGGTGGAAACTCAGCCATCATATACTTGTAAGTCCTTTCCAATTATTTCAGGCTAGTGTAGGCTAATGGGTTGATACCCACACTTTAAACTCACTCAGTGCAAAAGGTTTGAAAATGTCATCCCTGCAAGCAGATGTTTGTTAAATAAAACAAAACAGAATCTTCTTTACCTGATTCCTCAGTTTCTTTTGGTTCTGTCGTTTCTTCTATTTCATCATCAGACATTTCCATTTCTTCTTCTCGCCTGATTCCCATTAATTCATCATTATGAATGTTGCGAATTTCCTAAGGTTAATAGATACATTTTTTAGGTGGGAAAGCCTTGAAAATATTGAGGATGAAGACATGATCAGAGTTAAAGGTAAGATAAAACAGCTTTTTTTTTTTAAACATAATTGGAAAAAAACTTCAGAGTACTCTTTCTTAAGGCAAAGGCAAAGATGCATAGTGAGACTGTGATATAGTTTAGGTATGTTTCCTGCAAATCCCATGTTGAAATTTGACTGCCAATGTTGGAGGTGGGGCCTAATGGGAGATGTCTGGGTCATGGGGGCGTATCCCTAAGAATGGTTTGGTGTAGTTCCTGTGACACTGCTTGTTGGAAAGAACCTGACACTTTCTTCTCCTTCCTCCCTCTCTATCTCTCCCCCCTCCTCTAACCATGTGATGCCCGCTCCCCTTTGCCATATGCCTTAAGCGGAGGCTTCCTGAGGCCCTCACCAGGAGTAGATGCTGGCATCGTGCTTCTTGTACAGCTTGCAGAATCTTGAGCCAAATAAATCTCTTTTCTTTATAAATTACCCAGCCTCAGGTATTCCCTTTATAGTAACACAAATGGACTGAGACAGAAAAATAGACTGTTTCCATCTCACAAAACAAAGCAGACTCAGTTAACTGTCTTACTTTCCAGATCCAGAGCTCTAGCAATCTATGATTCTTATATCCTTTTCATATTAGAAAGCACTTTGGCTATGAAAGAGCCTTTAACTCTTACTCATGTGGATTTCTGGACTGTTCCTTAAAGGTTCTGCCATTTTTTTTTTTGGTTGCAGCCATCATTGTTTGGCAGGCCCGGGCTGGATTTGAACCCACTGGCTCAGGTGTATGTGGCTGGCGCCTTAGCTACTTGAGCCACAGGCGCCAAGCTGGTTCTGCCATTTTTAACTTCCCATGTTGGACCCTTTAATTTTGCTGTTTGCCATCCTCTTCCCTTTTCTCTTATAGTTTTATACAGCAGAAGTTGTAATTGAGTTTTTGCAGTTTTAGAAGTTAGAGTAAAAATGAGCTGTTAGGAGTAAACACCTACTAGACCAACCCTCCATGGCTAATAAGTATAATCTTTGGACAAAATATAAAACAAAGCCCATAACAAAATCAGGCATATTCTGAAAAGGAGCTGACACTTGACAGAAGGGAATAGCATAGCGTGAGTCTCTCAGTTTTTAAAGGGCCTTTTAGTCTGAGGATAGACCAGAGTAAGCACATCACAGGAGGTGATAAATTTCTAATAGGAAACCTATAGTCTTGAAATACTTTACTAAGAAGAATGTCTTACAGCAAAAAATAAGTAAGTGAGGTGATGGCTATCTTAATCAGTTTGATTTAAGCATTCCATATTATCTATCAACAAATCATCACATTGTACCCCATAAATATATACAGTTATGATTTTAATTAAAACTTAAAAAAAGAAAACCTACAGTCTTTATGGATCAGAGAATTTGAGGAGAGTTCCCAGCAACTGTAGTCACTGGAAAGTGAGGAGGAGATCCCAGAAAGGAAACAACCAGAGACAGGGAGTGATGGGGGCAGGGGGAGAGAGAGAGAGAGAGCGAGAGGGCAAGTGCAAACACAAGTGCAAGATGATCACTTCAAATTCTGTATATAAGAACTCTCCCAAACTTCTGCACGGCCTCTGAGCCACAAAAACACAAGGAAGATTCCAAATAATACAGCTAAGGCTAAAAGAATTGGACTGAGATTTGAGTTGCCATACAAGAGACAGAATTTTCAGCTTTCATCCAACCAAGTACATGGACCACTAAAACAAAACAAAGTTAGCATTCTTTGGAGTAATATAACAGAATCCAGTGATAATGTCATAATATCCATGATAAAGTCCAAAATTACATCATATATAAAGAACTAGGATGAGAAGAAATATGCTCATAATAAATGAAAAGATAGGAGATCTTAGTAGAGGACTAGAAACCTAAAAAAAGGAAGATAGGGCCTATTTTCAAAGGAAATGACAAATGATGGAGACTAACCTTAAGATGACCTAGATATGGTAATTTATTTTTTTTTAAAGACAGGGTCTTGTTCTGCTTTCCAGGCTACAATGATTTGCAACTTCTTGGCTCAAGCAATCCTCTTGGCTCTGCCTTCTGAGTGGCTAGCACTACAGGTACATGTACCATGCTTGGCTAATTTTTAATTTTTGTTTTGTAGAAATGGGGATCTTGTTATGTTGCCCAGGCTGGTCTCAAACTCCTGGCCTCGAACAGCCCTCCCACCTCAGCCTCCCAAAGTTCTGGGATTATAGGCATAAGTCACCACACCTGGGTGGGATGTGGTAATTTAGCAGACAAGGAATTAATTTATCTATTATAGCTATACTCATGATGTAAAGGAAATATTCTCATAATTAATAAAAAGAGAAAATCTCAGTGGTGGAATAGAAACTTTAAAAATGAGCCAATTAATTTGTCTGAAAATAAAAAGAACTAAAGATTATTTGTTTGGAAATAAAAAAAGAAACAAAAATTTTTTTGGCTAGAAATGAAAAGAACTGAGTTTGTTTATTTGTTTGTTTGTTTGTTTGTTTTTGGTAAAGTTTCTATTCCTCTGTTGAGATTTCCAATTTTTTATTCATTTTGAGCATATTTTACATTTCTGAGCATGGTTAAAGTAGCTACTTTAATTCCTTGTCTGAAAGTTACGATATCTGGGATAATTCCAAAACTGAAAAATGCAACATCTTGGAAAATCCACAGCTGAACCTAAAAGTATAATAGAAGAGACAGAATGCAGAAAGAACTTAAAGAAGAACAACATGAATGTATCCGATTTCAAAAACAGAGAAAGATACATATTTTAAAAAATAACAGAGCCTCAGGGACTTGTGGGATTGCATCCAACAGTCTCACAACATGTAAACAGAATATCAGAAAAGGAGGAGAGAGAAAAAGATTCAGAAATATTTGAAGCATATTTTTATTCTCAAATTTGATGAGAGATATTAATCTACATATTCAAAGAGCTTAGTGAAACCCAAGCAAGATATGAGTAAAAAAGTACGTCTAGGAATATCATAGTCAAACTGCAGAAAACTATAAAAACAGACAAACTTTTGAAAGCAGCCAGAGAAAAAGAATATAAGGGGAAGAACAATTCAAATACGTTGATTTCTTTCCATACAATAAAGGCCAGAAGCCAGTGGAATAATATCTTTAAAGTTCAAGAAGAAATAACAATATCTGTTCATTCAAAATTCTATGTTTGGGGAAAAAAATGCTTTCGATAATGAAGATGAGATTAATGTATTTTAAGACAAAAGTAAGTACAAGAATTTGTCACCAACAGACTTGCACTATAAGAAATGCTGAAGAAAGTTCTTCAGGCTGAAAGTAAGTGCTACAGACATAAACACACCTCTTCAGGAAGGAAGGAATATTAGAATTACCAAGATCACACTGGGAAAAGTCAGCTTAAAAAGTAAGCATGTGAACTGTGGATTTTGGAGCAGCTTTCAATCATTTAGAGGCCAATATAATGCCTGTCAGGGGTTCCTCAGGGCTGAGCTGAGATTCTTTGCCTAGGTTAGCTCCCACTGGGTTGTATACAGGAAATCGCCAAAGCTGTCTGGTGAAAATTGCCTCCATTTAGAGGGTTATGAGTATTTCAAATGGATTTCTTTTTTTTTAATTTTTCCATATTTATTTCCTGGGAAAAATTAGGTATCTATTATATAGCTATGACTGTCAGTTACATATGAAATACACTATGTATTATCATGGTTGGCCATCATACATTTTAGATTATTTTTTAGCTATAGCATCTAGCATTACCTTTTTTTTATTGAATGGTAACTATGTACATTAATGCACTTCTGGGGTACAGTGTGGTGTTTTCACACATAATCTGAAACACTTCCATCAAACTGGTTAACATAGCCTTCATGTCATTTTCTTAGTTATTGTGTTAAAACGTTCATATTCTACTCTTAGAAAGTCAAATGGATTTCTTAATAATTAATGCTGTAGCCAGTCACTATCTGAGCTAATATCCTCCTTTTTATTCCTTTTCTCAAGAAAAATAATTTCTATCTCAAGTTTTCACTAAAAATAAATAAAAGACCCCTTTTTAAAAAGCCAGCTATTCAGTATTATCACTGATAGTTAAGAAGTAATAGAAAAATCAGATGCTAACATAGTGTCTCCCATGTGCTGCAGGGGCATTACTTAAAATAGAAGAAAATAATGACTTGCAGGAGAAAAATGGACTTTAAAGGGCTATGTCAAGAGACAGATTTGCTATGTCTTATTCAAACTCATTGCATAGAGAACAATAAAGGATTTCTCATTTCTGATAATTCATTATATCTCAGGAGTCTGGGTTTCAGTTATCATCCAAGGGCTGTTACTGGAAAGGTGATTATAACAAGGTTTGACGTTGGCAAATTCAAATACTGTACAATCTACTGCATCAGGAAAAGTCACGGCTTTTTAGTTGCTTAATAAAAATGTAGACCATCGGGGATTATAAGCAGAGACCAACTCTCAATTCACAAATATGTCACCTAGCCCTGGGAAAATTATTGTGTTCCTCAGAAGAGTAAATTGTGTTCCATCTAGGGAAATGTCCCAGGACAGGAAGATCTGAGAGCTCAGACATGTCCTGTAGCTTCTCAGCATCCTCAAAGCTGCTTTCTGTTTCCAACTGGGCAAGAAAGCATAATCTCCTCTTAGAATCATAAAAAGTTCAATTGACTACATGATATGGCTTATTTAGTAGTAGTCTTTCACATCTTCAAAAATCCCTAGAAATATAATAGCTCTATGGACAAATTCAGGAACAAGAATTACCAATTTATTTATCTGATAATAAAATAACGGTTAGAAATACTAAGGAAAAGTTTTCCCTATGTTGCTCAGGCAGGCAGGCAGAGTCAGAGCCCTCTACCCACTATCCTTTTTAACTATAAAGGAACTCAGGCTGTTATCCTCAGTCTTCTATAAATACCCAATACTATATCAGATGAATGGGATAAAAGGCAAAAAGAACATCAAAGGCTATGGAGTACCATAGTAAAGAAAACTTAACAGGGAACATGTAGTAAAGACAGTATCCCCAAGAAAAGAGGATGAGATTTTAATACTTAAAGCACTTGATATTGGAGATACCTGTGTTCTGCATTCTCTGATTAGATCAGAAAAGTTCTACTTTGGGAAGCAAACCCTTCATAGTGAAGGGCTAAAAGATGGCATGTCCCTGAGGAAAGCATTCTACCTAGCTTGGACATAGGTGCAGGCGCAGGGAGGACTCTGAACCATCATAGTGAAGACAGAAAAAGAAATCGCTGCCTCCCACATTTGTCCCATTTCCCATCCTGACATTGGGATCCAGTGCTGAAACCAAAAAGAGTGGAAATGGCATGCAGAAACATTTTCCTGCATTTTGCATCTGTAAATCTCGACCTGAAACTGACTGGGTCACATCACTGAGAAACTACATCAAAAAAGTGAGATAGCCCTCCTAAAGGTTTTCTACCACTCTCTTGCCCATAGTAGGTCTGTGATAGTTTTCATTTTAACAGTGAACTGATAATGGTTTCTGAAGTCTCAGTATAATGACTTTTTGTCTGTTCTGACAGGAACTTTTTCTGAAGTTTAGAAATTCACACACTGCTCCACAATGGAGGACAGAGCACTTTCAGATAGAATAAAACTGAAACCTGAAACAGAGGGAAATACACGAAAAGAACCACCTTTGTACCAGCTGGTATTTTTGACTTAACATACAGTAAATTATAAATCATTATACATTAATTATCTAACTGTAGTTTCACAAAAATTTATATAGACATAAATTTATCTTATTTATGTTTTATGACAGGGACATGATTATCAGAAGATCAAAGTTCCTTATTAAATGTCAAATAAAATTCTACTTACCCAGACTTTCAACATTAACAGGTAACTTGGTGGGGAGTGGGTCAGATGAGAGAATGGAAGGGAGCACAGGACAGGGAGATAGCTTCTATAATTATGTAGAAACGTGATTCTGAGATATCATTTAATATAATGAACCACAATCTCAGCTTCTTAATTAAGGTCTATTGTATCATACATAATGGAGATACAAATTAGGTTGATCTAAATTGTGTTAGTATGTTTTTTGATGGCCGAAGGCCAATAGCTAGTGTTAGTACAAATGGATCCTAAAACAAGAGTATGTGGATGACTTGAATATCTATCTGCAAACAGTTCTTCAGAGTTTGGAATGGTAGGCCTGTAAATCTAGAGAGAAAGTTATTTTAGCAATCATAGTATTTCATTTTACAAGAATACTAGCAATCATCAAATCCCTTTTCTTTTGGCCCAGTGGCATAAAAACCTCATCTTAGGATGGAAGGGGTATCTCCTAGTGTTTGTTGCCATGGCTCTAGTTTTTATTCATCATCCAAGGTTTGCTTTCTATTCTAGGGTAGCTTTAGAGAAACACACAGGCTTTAAATGATTCTGTAGAAAAACAGTTTCCGCAACACACTGAACTGCCAGTAAAGTCACTGTAGACAACAAGTTTTAATAAGGGGAGGGACTTCAGCCTTCTCTTATTATCCTTTTCAATCATATTAGCAGGAGCCTCATGCACTCATAAATCAGGGAAGTAAAGCAATGAAAAAGACTCATTAGCAAACTAATCTGCCTGACATATATTGCCGAAGTTAGTGTCTAAGTTCCCTGAAGGTCAGGACTTTTTACTCCAGACCCTTTCTCTCAGCAGAGTAAGACCGTGTTGGGGGCTGGTAGAAGGATGACAAACAAGAAACAGGTACTTTGTGACATGAGCAGATCTGTGGCTGACTTATTCCTAGAGGTAACTGGTAAAAAGGTTAAATGTCAGAAACTTCCATGCTGATGAAACCCTGGACTTATGAGTCATAGCTTCAAGGCCTGGGTCGAGAAAGAAACAGGCGAGTTGGTTAAGTTTTTGAGATGCTCTGATTTTCAGTGGGGTGCCCTTAAGAGGCAGGCACAATTGAAGAATACAGTTTCTTCACTTCCCACAGAATACCTTCTTTCAGTACTCAGAGCTGTCTTCTATCACGTAAAGGTTTGAAGAGGTAAAAATAAGAACAAAAATAGAAACAGAAAGAAAACATGATTTTGAGAGACAGCAGCATAAGGTGGAAGAGTTCTTTTAGGATTAGGGAATGCAATGTCAGAAGAAGGCCATGAGCTATATCCTACTCTCAATTGAAAGTACTTTATAAATATAAACGTTGCCATAAGGAATATGGCAACTTGCGTTGACAGATACAATGGGACTGCTACTAGACTGGCAAAGAGGACTCAGAAATGTAGTTGAAAAAGCTGCTACATATATAGATTGAAATTATAAGGGCTGGCTAAGGAAGCTGCCCATAGGAATAGAAGAACTTGAGGCATAAATAACAGCATTCCCAATGGCAGATCAGTAAAACCTCACATTTTAGTTTGTAATTTCTGGTTCATGATAGCAACCTAATCATACCACATGTATTCTAGTGTTAGGCTAAAAATGTCAACTGAGTACAAGCAGAGAGGTTTATCAACCTTAACCTAAAATCAGAGTCCTCTGTTACTGTTAAAGCTGCCACTTATAAAGATGACTAAATGGATATGATAAGATAAGTTCAGAAATTTCAAAGCTCCACTGTAACACCAGGCAGCTTCCAGGCTCAACTGTCAAGATGCTCTAATAAATGTAAGACAGCCCTAATATTACTAACAGCAGCAGCACAGGTCAGTAATTATTGTTGTACCCAAGACTAGCTAGCTTAGAGAAGTAAACTTATAATTATCCCAGCTACATTTCCACCACTAGGGTTTCCATCCAGCAGAATGCATTTAAGACTACACAGGTACATTTTTTACCCTTTTGACAGCAGGTGGTCTGGACACAGTGACAGGCTTATAGAATACATCTTAGTGTTTCATTAGGGCCTTGTTGTGACCATGGGAGCTTGGCACTATTTAATTCTGGCTAAACTCCAAATCAATAACTTGTTAAAGAAACTGTCCCCTTGAGGAGCTACCAGAGTAAAAAGTTACCAACCTCAGCTTGTTTGCACCAAACGCTGATGTTTTTACGCTGGGCTTTTGTGAAGTGGTCCCATGCCTTCTGTTTGGAGGCGGAATGGTACACAGCAACGATCTGCTCAACTGCAGCGTGGAATCAGTAGGCGGATCAGGCCAGAGTATGATCCAGCATCCAGTGATGACAAAAGAAAGGAGGAAAGAAATAAAAGGGACATATCAGGCTTGTTGTATCTTCTTGTTATGACACTATATTAGGCTGGCATTGTACTTAGAAAAAGCAACATGTGCTGGGGTACTGTGATTTGACTGGAGACTCAAAGGAAGAGGTATCAATATACAGAAAGAAAAAAAGGGAACTCCAGAAGGTTTGGGGTAAAATGATGACTGAAGTTTCAATACAGACTGTGTATTCATGCAGTCAGAAGGGGCAAGAGTCATAGCCAAAGGTATTTAGTTTAGTACTACTGACCCCATACAGTATAGAAGCAAATGGCAAACTATACCAACAACTTCCTACCACTGGCTCTTTTCATAAAGAAGCCCTATGAGATTCAAGTTGGATACTTAATTTCAATAGGATTCATACTTTTACTATTCCGAGCTACGTTTAACCATAAGCATCTAGTCAAAACCTAAGATGGACTGAATCTTTTTGAAGTCTGCCCTAGATTAGCCTTGTTGACTGGAAAACAATGTGAAGTTTATGGAATAATACTGTATAGATATAGGACTAGAGAGTATTTGACATATTTTACACAGTCTTTTAAAATGTCAAATGGGAAATGGGGAATAATATTTTGGGACATGATTCTAATCAGTTCAAGAAAAGGGAAATTTAGACATGATCCTTTTAGGAAAAGAAAAGCAGCCCTATTCATAGTAAGAAAATCCAAAGGTGTTATTTTTCCCTTTACAGACCTCTTTGCACCTTGTCTTCTAATGATTTAAGGATTTATATTCCCATGATGCTTGCTGCTCTTTTTCTACTTATTCTGAAGTCCTGAAGATATGTGTTTTCACATCCTAGATTCAATGCCCAAGTATGCTTTCAAACTACAAATGGCAAATGGAACAACTCCTCCTTAGTTCCAATTATGTATGAGTCAAATATGAGAAGTCAAGTATGGCAAGAGTGGACCATAATTGTTTAAAAGCAAAATTATAAAGTTATACCCTTATTCTTAAGGTAAAGATAGTCCTTTACTAAAAGGACATAAGTGGATAATTTTATAATATGGTGAACAAAAAAACATTACTTGCAAATGTATTTGAACTATCTCACTAAAGAAATCTTGGCTAGATTTGAAGTGGTACTTTTTTTTGGAAAATGGCCATTTTGGTGGCTTTTTACCCCATTGAAATGACTATGACCTCCAGCAAAGGTAGTGGAAGAAAACTAAATACAAAATATAGACAGCAAATTTTTTTTTTATTTAATCACCTTGGGAAATAAAATTATATATTTATCACTAATATAAAGTCTTCTAAAAGCATATTACATGATGTTAATGATGCGAATCTAAAGAAAAGAGCCTTCAAATGCTGATGGCTACTTCCTGACTTCAGCAATAAACTATCCAACCCTCTACTGAGGCCTCGGGCTGTAATGGCCTAAGTATCTGTGTTTCTAAGGAGCTAAAGTTAGATCTACTAAAATAAATGAAAATAGGAGCTATCCACATATTTCCTGAGAAACGGGGGGTGGGGCGTTTGGCAAGGAGAGCACAAGGCAATGAACAAGGCTTTGCCCTTGACACAGGATGTCTCTGTAGTTGTGGGCTCCTGTGTATAGCTAGTGGTGACTCAGTGACGTGTCCTCTCACCCTTCCAGAAGAACTCTATATTCCACTCACATTGAATGAGAATTCCAGAAAGGGCCTGCTTGAACTTCTCCTTTGCTTCTTCCATATCTTTCTCATGGGCCGCTTTTTCATTTACCAGGCGGCGGACATGGCTGTTGGCCGACTGGATCATGGAATAGAAATTATTGGCGCTGCGACGGTTTACCTCTCCCCGCTCTATCCAGGTGAGCAAAGTCTGCACAGCTTCTGAGAATTTGGAATCATCTGAAAGAAAGCGAATCATCAAAGGCAGGGGTCCTCAAACTTTTAAAACAGGGGGCCAGTTCACTGTCCCTCAGACCATTGGAGGGCCAGACTGTGGGCCCCAGGACGAGTCGGCTGCTAACCAGGACAGGCAGTGGTGGCAAAAACACCTGGTGGGCCAGATAAATGTCGTAGCCAGGCTGCATGTGGCCCGCGGGCCGTAATTTGAGGATGCCTGATCAAAGGTAACCAAATCTCAATCTATTTTTCCAACATGCTGGCAAAGAGGATATGATGGCTTTTTGGCAGTGGTGGTGGTTAATTGCATTGCTGAGGATAAGGAACCACACAGGCACATTTGTGCACACACAGGCAGCGGGCAGGCAGACAGGATGAATGAAAGACTCAAAAGTAATCAGATTGTTTGCAGTCTATGAAGAATTTTCAGAAAGAAAAATGATTCTTCTTTCTTTAAAACAACAACAACAACAACAACAAAAAACTCCTGGAGGTGGCGCCTGTGGCTCAAGCAGTAGAGTGCCGGCCCCATATACTGGAGGTGGCGGGTTCAAACCCGGCCCTGGCCAAAACCAAAACGACGAACTTCAGTACTGATATTATAGTTTTTACATATTGCAAATTTCTTATCTCTGATTGTGTGTGTGTGTGTGTGTGAGAGAGAGAGATTAGTGAGGGAACTTTAGTATTCTACAATCTTATGTTTTAATGTGGAAAAGCAAACTTGAGTCCTGAGTTTAACTTGAATTTGATAGTAACTTTACCTTGGACCCTTGGAAATATAGTGTTCGAATGAGCCTTAGGAAAGAGGTAAGTGAGTAATTCTTTAGGTATAAAAACTTACATCTCTGACCTTTTACAATATCACTCCTGAATTCAATCCACAGCCCCAGGATTTCCACTTAGTTCTAGTCACAAACTATTTTGATGTAATTCATTTTAATTCTATATTTCTCTACATCTTTTTTCTCTTGCCTGAGGAACCCACCACCAAGAAGATTTCTTCAGCTAGGTAGGAGTTATTCTCTAACTACTTAAGATAGTAGCACAGCTCTTCCAAAGCTGCTGGTCTAGCTCCCCAGGATAGCCACTTATTCCGCTGCTAAAGACTCGTGAGAGGGAAAGTCCATTAGCATCCCACTGAAGCCCCATTCTAGGGCTTTACATCCCTCTCTGGCCAGAAACTCTTATGTCAAGTAGAAATTTCTTTTACTACAATTTGAACTTCTTGCCTCTTTGCCCTTTTGTTCAGTGTAGACATAACAAGAGGTCAGCCTCCCCTTTGTAGCAGCTTTTCATTTCCTTTCTTAGATGCTTACGTTGATGGTCAGTTTTTGCTTTTCCAGAGTGCCATACAATAAGAAAATACATGTTTTTGTTATTTTATTTTATTTTCTAACTTAAATTGATTTGTTTGGTGTTGTGTGAAGAGGCAAGTTTGGGGCCTGGCATTTTACCAAAGCTTTCAGCCTTTTGAATTTCTCAAAATGTACCATTATTTCTGTCTTTATTCTGGACTCTATGTTTACTTCTTTTTCCTTGCAGGAAGTCAAAATCGATTATTAGAGATTTCTTAAGACTTCTTAAATGCGTGAATCCCTTAGGCTATGTGGTGTAAATAAGTCTGGTGAATGAAATCAACCTGGAAAGTGGAATTAGCAGTATCTTGCTGAGCTGAGACCACAAGAAACAGGGAAAATTCATATTATTAGAGCTGGGTTGGCGTCATCAGTGAGAGCAATGGGATACCAACGCTCATTCAATAAAAATACACCATACTCAGAAAAATAAGAAAGACTGGATTTTAGCTACTAAGATAGAAGACCAGGCAGGGAAATTAATGTTAAATTAGCGAAATGCTCTGAGACTTAAACAAGGGAATAGGAATCAAGACAATGGGAAAGACAATGATTTAGTGATGTCTAGAAGTCTTCATAGTCACTGTTTGAAATAAATTGGCCTTTTTTTTTTTTTTTTAAAAGACAGAGTCTCACTATGTCGCCCCTGGTAGAGTGCCGTAGTGTCACAGCTCACAGCAACCTCAAACTCCCAAGCTTAAGTGATTCTCCTGCCTCAGCCTCCCAAGTAGCTGGGACCACAGGTGCCTACCACAATTCCCGGCTATTTTTTGTTGCAGTTGTCCTTGTTGTTTAGCTAGCCTGGGCTGGGTTCGAACCCGCCAACCTCAGTGTATGTGGCTGATGCTATAACCACTGTGCTATAGGTACCAAGCCAAATTGGCATTTTTAAGTCATTAAAAAGTGTTTTTTTAAGCTGTTGGTAGCTAAGTCATTGAATAATCTAAGAAGAATATACACTGTGACTAATTCCTGGGCTCTACTTTCTCATCTTTAAAATGGGTATTTTACCAGAGTTTTTCAGAGTCACATCAGGGTCTATCATCCTGATTCACTCATTTGACTTAGAATTCAGAAGTAACTTGTATCTACTATGAAAGGGGATGCTTATAGGTCCCATGTCATAAATCACACCTAAAATTCTCGGATGTGGAAAAGTGAGGAAAACCTGTTGTTTCTCACTTTCTTTTTTATGGAAAGAAAAAATGCCATCCCTCAAGACAATGAAGGAACAGAGACACAGATGACAAGGACACATTTCCTGGTTTTTGAGTTACTAGGTATATCTCTTTATCTGCAAGGCTTCAAGATATGAAATGCTTAGAATCCGTCAGTGGGAAATTCAAAAGGGTAACTGCCAACCACACAATATATTTATTAAACTTCCCTAAAGAGAAGTACTCTTTCAGTCATGAAGCTTGCCTTCCATACCTTTTAGTTTTTCAGCAACAATGCTGCATTCGTGATCTGAATAGTGGACCACGGGGGGCGGGGATGGTGGACGCAATCTTTCTTCTTCCATCCTTCTACGGTGGCGCTCCTCTCTGGCTAACATACGCTGTTTACATTCCCACTCATACAGGTCATCGCGAGCCTGTGCAAAATCAACGTGGAGCCGTCCTGTGTCTTTCTTGTCAGTACTAGAGCCCAGGCGAATGCGGTAGCCTAAATTCACCGGAGGGAGAGAAAGAGAGAGGAATGAATAAACAACTATAAATACTTTTCCATGTTCAGTGTTTCAGATGAAGCTGTATCAGTTTCACGTGACCACATAACCCCCAAATCTTTCCCTATACCTAGAAAGGTAAATCATCAAAAGACCTGGATTAGTCTCTTCTCTTATAATAGCTATTATTCTAAAGGTTGTGTCAGTCTTGTTCTTAAGAGTTCTATTCTTCCATCTACTTCCTTAACTATGGCTAAGGGTGGCTCTGTGGCTAATTGTATCAAGATGTCTTATATGGCATCAAGGGCAGGGAGGAGTGGAAGAGGTAGCCCCAATCTATGGTGCCTCTAAGTAACTTCAAGAGTGTCAGTCTTATCATTACACAGATTTTGGTAAAACTTAAATGCATTAACTTGGTATTTGAATCCCTAAAATGGCTTCCTAGAAACATTTGACAAATATAAACTATATTTTCTGGAAAAAATTAAATATGATGGGCAGTGGTGTGTAATTCAGATTATATAGAATTTGGGATCCTTAAATAGTGTGATTGTGATATGGTGGAATAGGCCTAGGATTCATAAAAGCAGGATTCAACTCCCTACCCCAACTTTTTTGCACCAAATATACTACTCAATTCATGTCTTTTAACAAAATAAAAAAGTACTTTTCAGTTTCAGGAGATGAGTTAGATATTTCCTCCCACATGTACTTATTTCATTTCATTCTCAGCATAAGCTTGCAGGGTAAACACTTTACCAAAGAGAAAACTGAGCATCAGACAGGTTAGAGAGGTTAAATGGCTTGCCCTGGGTCAAATAACTAGCAAATGTTAGTTTGCTAAATCCATTGTGCTTTCTGCTATTCTAAACTGCCTCTCAACAATAGTACTCACCAAAGACTTTTGCTTCTGGCTAAGATAGAGTAACAGAGGTTAGATATATTCTGTCCCTTAAACAGCTAAAAATGTAGACAAAACATGAGGTCAATCAATTAAGTTCACAAACTGATCCTAGAAGAAGTGTTACATACCTCCTTGCTGAATATCACCAAGGTCATCTTTGAAGTACTCCCCTTGGGAAGCTATACACCAATGCCAGTGCCTAGTCTACCCTTAAAAGCAAGTTTGGAACTCTTTGTGGAATGGCCATCAGAGCTGTCATTGTAGGAGATCTGACAATTAAATTGAACTCATCCTAGAAAAAGCGTTTTGATGGGTGGACTAGGCACTGGTATTGTGCATAACTTCCCAAGGAGAGTACTTTAAAGGTGACTATAGGGATATTCAGCCGGGAGGTATGTAGCGCTTTTTCTAGGATGAGTTCTTGAACTTAACTGTCTGACCCTGTATATGAAATAATGGTTTTTAAAACACAGGACATCAGACAATGGAGACAGTGATCACTGAGAGACAAGAACCAAATGAAGTGATCCCCATAATTGCTCCAGTTTATTGCCTGGAGAGAGTTTCCAGGCTTTAGCACAGGGAGGGAAAACCAGACAAAGAATGGCGGCCTTCCCACATCGAGATTGAACTGGGAGCCAAGGGACACTATGGCAAATTGAGCTCACAAGGCAGAGTGTCAGAAAGAAGAAAGTGGCACAGAGAAAGAACTTCAGAGACCTTTAGAGGGTCCTCCACTATTAGTTAGCTGAGTATTAATGTTTACATATATGTGGAAACTACCCAGGCATTAGAAATAATAGTTCCTGGGGCTCCCATAGGGATGAGAATAGTTCCTTTTTCCACCGGCCAGAGTAGAAAAACTCATACTTGATAGAGCATTGAGTAATCACGAGTGTTTTGCCTTAATAGTGAAGAAAAATTAACCCTAAACTAAACAGCTATGATTCCACTGAACAAACCTAAAAAAAAGCAAGACTTGAAAGGACCAAATTTTCCCAAGTTACTTAACTGCATTCCAGAAAAAAGTTCAAGAATATTTATAGAAATAAAAAATACCTTTCACCAAATAAGGTAAAATTTATAATGTCTAGTATCCAATTAAAAATTACCTTTATTATGAATCACATTTTCTGCAAAGAAGCAGGAAAGATTAATAAAGATTAACAAAACAGTTAATCCAAACAGATCCAGAATACAGATAATATTACATACTATGTAAGGACATAAAAACAACTATCAAATTTGATTTCATATGCTCAAGAAGCTACAGAAAAGTTTGAACATCTTAAGTAGAAACTCAAAGGATATAAAAAGAGTTGAGAACAAATATCTAGATATTTTGGCCAGGCGCAGTTGCTCACACCTGTAATCCTAGCACTCTGGGATGCCGAGGCAGGTGGATTGCTTGAGCTCACAGGTTCGAGACCAGAGTGAGCAAGTACAAGACCCTGTCTCTAAAAAACAGCTGGGTGTTGTGGCAAGTGCCTGTAGTCCCAGATACATGGGAGGCTGAGACAAGAGAATCACTTGAGCCAAGAGTTTGAGGTTGCTGTGAGCTATGACCCCATAGCACTTTACCAAGAGTGACAAAGTAAGACTCTGTCTCAAAAAAAAACTTATATAGATAGATAGATAGATTTAAACTACAATAGCTAAGTTGAAAAAAAATAGCTAGATAGAACTGATAGCAAATTAGACACTGCATCAGAAAAATTAATGAAGTAGAAGACATAGCAATAGAAAATATCCATGATGAAATACAGGGATACAAGGACTTAAAAAAATGAACAAAGTATCAGTGAGTGTGAAACAACTTCAAGGGGTCTAATGTAGGCCTAATTGGAACCATGAAAGTCATGGGAGAGAGGAGAGAACAGAAAAATATATTTGAAGGAGAGAAAATCCCTCAAATTTGATGAAAATTTAGAAATCCAAGAATTTCAGTGAACCCCAAGCATAAGACACACAAGGGAAATTACACCAAGGCACATCATAGCCAAATTGCTCAGTAGTAGCAATAAAGAGAATATACTAAATGCATTCATAGAGAAAAGACACATTAATTACAGAGAAACAAAGATAAAGATGACATCATATTTCTTGTTGAATACAATGCAAGCAAGAAAGTATTGGAACAACATCTGAGGAAGGAAAAAAAAAATAAAAACACCAAACCATCTGTCAGTCTAGAATTCTATATCCAGAAAAACATCATTTAAAAATAAAAGTTAAATAAATCCTTTTTCAAATATATAAGTGCTGAAAGAATTCATCAGGAGCAGATCTGGTGTTACAAAAAATGTTAAAGGAAATTCAGGCATAGTGAAAATGACACCAAATGGAAATCGAAGGAAGAGAATACATGATATATGAGTCCATTTATATAAAGTTCTACTTAATATAAAGTTCTAGAATGCACAATAATCTGATAGAAAACAGGTAAATTGTTGACTGAGAAGGCAGTGGGGAGGGGGTAGGAGGACAGGATTTCAAAAGGGTATGAAGGAAGCTTTTGGGGATGGTGGACATATTCATTATTCTGATGTTGGTAATGGTTTCACAACTCTGGGTATTTCCGTACGATGTTAAGTAATTACATTTTTGAAATATGTGAAGGTCATTGTATGTCAATTATTGAGACTTAATAAAGCTGTTATTAAAAACAATACCCAGTAATGCTAAAATTTCCACACATTATTTTTTAAAAGAGGAAACATAAATACATTTTATAAGCAAATTTTTCTAGGCCCCTTTACAGTTTATAAAGTACGTGCACATCCATTCATCTTATTTAATCATCTAAGCCAGTGGTTCTCAACCTTCCTAATGCTGCGACCCTTTAATACAGTTCCTCATGTTGTGGTGACCCCCAATCATAAAATTATTTTCGTTGCTACTTCATAACTGTAATTTTTCTACTGTTATGAATCATAATGTAAATATCTGATATGCAGGGTGGTCTTAGGCGACCCCTGTGAAAGGATCGTTCAACCCCTAAAGGGGTTGTGACCCACAGGTTGAGAAACGCTGATCTCAGCCATCAGAAAAATAGAACTGCTAATGATTACCTCGTCTATTCTCCCAGAATTGTAGAAAGGATCAAAGGAGAACAATATGAAATCTCTATATGTGTGTCACTATGAAAGTTTTGAGACAGACTGTGTTATGGTCCATTATTTCACTTCCAGGAAACATAGTCGACAGCATCCTTTCTGTTTTACCCATGCAAAAACTTATTCAGCTCACTGGTGTTGCTGGGAGGACTTCATTTCTGTCTATGTGGATTTTATGTTACTTGATTTTTGTGTATCTAAACCTCCCCTAGGGATGCTATAATATGACGCTATGGAGTGGGCATGTTCTGCAGGGTGTCAGCTCCCAAAGATGCTCCAACTTGCACAGAAAAAAAAATGATCTCCACATTTTCCAGCCCCTCCCACCTTTTAAGAGATTTTTGTGTGTTTAACTTCCTTCTTTTACAATGTGAGATAATAGCCACCTCACTGAGGAGATTTATTGTACTTGTGAACTTTCAGAGAGCAGGTTCAATTTTAAGAGCAAAATTTCATTGTTTTCCCATCATTGATTGAGAGCTCCTTCCTTTGTCAGCCTTAAGAATGTTTCTAGGAGATGGCTATTAACAGAGAGCTGATTTTACTGATGTTTATTTAGATGGATGCCTCTTAAGCAGTATGCCATCTTTTATGTATAACTACGCAGAGCTTTTTGAGACCTTTATGTTCTTATTAAAATAGTCTATTGTGGAATGCTCTATTATTGTCACTAAGTGCTGGGGAATCTTTGGTAGTTAGATTCTACAGCACTTAGCAAATGTAATGAAAGTATTCTACATCTACCTCCTCCTTTCCTTCCCCATGTTACTAGCCTGCTTTTTCAAACCCTCCTCACCTTTTAATTGGCCTCTTGCAACAGTCTCTTCTTTTCTCTTTTCTCCTCTAACCTATTTTTTACCCAGAGCAGTCAAATTAATCTTTCAGAAACAATTATTTTCCTAGTTCAAAAATGTCCTCAACAATTCTCTATTACCTGAAGAGTAAAGACCCAACTGGTAAGCTGTTCAGAGTGTGCTAACAACTGATGTTTTTTCTACTCCTCTCATCTTTACTTAGTACACAAACCACTACTCACTGTTTCCCGAACGTTTGCCAAAACTTACCACCTTCGTAGCTTTGCTCATGTTCTTTCAATGCCCTATGAATGAGCTTTGCTCATGCCCTTTCAGCGTCCACAAGCAAATACTCTCTTTGTCAAAGATTTGACCTACATGTTACCTTTCTTGATACCCTCAGTTAGGAGTCAGAAATATTCTCATTCTCTTGCCCTTCACCCTGCCTCCACTTCCACAGCGCTTACATTTTTCAGACTTTTATAATGAGTGTGTCATATCTGGGCCTTGAGTAATGCCTGGCACTAAATAAATGTTTCTCTGATAAATGAATCTATGATATCATACTAACCTTAAGTTCCTTAAGGGTAAAAGCTAAGTTTTACTTGTTTTCTACTTCACCCATTATCTAGCATAAGAAGTTTACACAAAGAGATGTCCAATATGTGCCTATTATATGAATGAAGATACTTCCATCATAAAATATCCAGCACTAGGACACAATTCTTCCAAACCGTTACTCTTAGGCAAGGAAGTTAGCCATTCTAGCTAACCATTCTATATTTGGTCCAATTACCCTGTCTTCTTCCTTCTGGCATATTTGTCTACTGTCTCACAAAGAATAATATCAATTCAAACTAAACAAAAGATCAGCCATGAAACTTTATTTTGAGACCAGCCCAAAAGGCAAGAGGCATCTTATAATAGTCATCAGAAATCATTCCAGTTACAATTCCTGGCTCCAGATGCTCTGCTTCAGTTTGAATATGTGTCACCTCTTATGTTGACACTAATGTTGAAATTAATCCTCAGTGTGGTAGTATTGAGAGGTGGGGCCTTTAAGCGGTGACTGGGTCATGAGGGTTGCCCTCATGAATGGATTAACCCATTCATGGATTAAGGGAGTAATAAGTTATCATGCAAGTAGGACTAGTGGCTTTATAAGAAGAGGAAGAGAGACCTAAGCTACCATTCTCAGTCCCCTCATCTTGTGATATCCTGAGCCACCTCAGGATTCTGTTGAGAGTCCCCACCAGTAAGAAGGCTCTCACCAGATACATAAACTTGACCTTGGACTTCCAAACCTTTCTAACTGTAAGAAATAAATTCCTTTTCTTTATAAATTACCCAGTTTTGGATATTTTAAGTAACAGAAAACAGACTAAAACACACCTTAAAGTTGAACTTTCATTATGAACAAGAGATTTTATTTATGTAAAGTAGCTCTTACTATCTGCACTCCAATGATTGTACTGTATAAGCCTCTATCGTTCTTGGATTAGACTAATGTTATAGTTGATTAATTTAGCTCTCAGTTACCATCCTAGCCCATACACCTCAGGCCATCTTCTACTCAGAAGTAACCATTTCTAAAATGTAAATCAGATCATGTCATTCTATTTCTTAAAATCCTCAAGAGCCTTCTAGAATAAAACTCACACTCATTATAATAAGAATCTGAAAGCTGTAAGTGCTGTGGAAGTGGAGGTGGGGCAAGGTCAAGAGAATGAGAATATTTCTGATGCCTATCTGGGGTATCAAGAAAGGTAGCATGTACGTCAATATGATTTGGTATTGCCTTCCTTTCAGACTTCATTTTTTTCCACCTTCTCTCTTATTTACTATGCTCTGCCCATGGTAACCTTCTATCCTCTGCTTTAACATGCCAAATCCACCTTTCTCCCAAGGCCTTTGGCTTGCCATTCCTACTTTGGAATGCTCTTCCCCAAAATGTTCACATGGCAATCTCCTTTCACTTCATTCAAATCTTAGTTCAACTGTCAGAGAAGATTTCCTTTCTTAACAAGCCTGGGTACATGAGAATTTTTAATGTTCTTCAGAGCATGCCTCAGTATTGATATTAAGTTCCTTATTTGTTTATATATATATATATATATATATATATCACATTTTTCCATCTCCAGAATGTAATATCATTGACAGCAGGAAGTCTGTCTATCTTGGTCTTTGCTGTGTCCCCAGCAACCTAATATTCTTCCTAGCTGTCAATAAATACTTGATAGCTAACTGACTTCTGTAAGTATTTTTGACCATCTACTTTCATGTCAGGTTATGTGCTAGCTGCTGGGGGTTTTGACATTGAGCAAGATACAGTCCCTTCCTGAAGGAGCTCATACTCTGGTGGGGGAGATGGATGTGGAAAGACAGTTCTATCAAGGTTCGACAGGTGTCATGTTAGAAGGAAGCACCGGGTGCTATGGAAGCACTAAAGAATAGGTGTCTAAACCAGCCTAGGGCAGAGTGGGGAGATAAGTCAGAGAAAGCTTTCCAGGGAGGATTTTTTTGAGCTGGAGCTTTAAAGTGTAAAGAGTATGAAGATGTGTGTATGTGTGGTGGACAGGGGTAGACAAAGTGATTCTAGACAGAGGAAAAGGCACAAAACACCATGGCACATTATGGGAACCAGAATCCATTTAGTGTGGTTGGGATATGGTGTGTGAGGGAAGGATTGGGAGATGATGCTGAGAGGCAGAGCACACAGCAAGGCTTTTAGATGCCACACATAAGGAGTCTGGAGTTATCCCAGACAATTGGGAGCTACTGAAGAGCTTTAAAGGAGAACCTGGGTGGGCAGGAACAAGCATTTTCCATCTCTAAGGCAAGAGAGAGTAACATTAAGCCCAAACTTTAGGGGTGACAGATGTAAATACTCCAATCCTCCATGTCTGTATTATGCCTGGTAGGTACAATCCCAACATCCAAACACCTACCGGACAGGTAAAGGGCTTTGTCCACCATGTACTCCTCAGCAAAGCGAATGTGACAGAAGTTCTTTTTGCTCTTCCGAATGGCAATGATTTCTCCACACTGTTCAAACACTTCCATGATGATTTGCTCTGTCCCGTTTTCAGGCAGGCCACCCACAAATACTGTTTTGCATCCTGGTGGTCTTTCTCTGGTTGCAGGAGGTGGAAGATCTAAGTGTAAGAGCAAAAGCAAATTTAAATGCTTGCTTGGGACAGACCTCTTTGAAGCCTAATGGAGTTTGGGCTATTGGAGAGCTATACCCTCCCCATCAAACTTTTGCCTAAGAGTGCCCTCCAAGGTGCTTATCTCTGATTCACAGAAGCAGAAATCACCCGCATGAATGTAAAGATCATTTCACTCAGTGGTTTGGTAACCATGAGGTCTAGAGCAGCAGTTCTCAACCTGTGGATCATGACCCACAGGAACTGTATTAAAGGGCTGCGGCATTAGGAAGGTTGAGAACCACTGGTCTAGAGGATAAAGAGGCCCAGGCCCATCTGTCTGTCCCATGGGGAGTTCTTTAGTTTTGTTCCCTACTTTTGTCGTGACAATCCAATTATGCCAAATTTTCAGTCATTTTTATTAAAAAGGCAGTTAGGGGGAGAAAATCCCACTCAGTTTTAAACTCTTATTTCCAAGTGTTCTCAGAACAAGGGTCCCTAAGACAGAGTTTGTTTAATTCAGATTATAGTTATTATATTCTCTCTGTTCATGTTTATTGAAAGAACTATTTCAGGATTTATTTGACAATGATAGGGTGAATATTTACAAAAATTTTAACAGCAGTCAGATGATGTGGTTTAACCAAGTCAGTCAGAGTACAAACCATCCTTTTTATGTTTTTTTTTTTTTTTTTTTTAATACCAGCGAGCCCTTCTGCAAATGCCTTACTGGAGAGGGGCAGAGGTCCAGAGCAAACCTTGCAGCATTTAGAGGGAAGTATGAAAGATAGCAGTGAAAGCAAGCTCATCTGGGAAATCATTAACTAAAGTGAGATAAATTTGGCCGTAGAGAGTCATTAAAAATCTACTTAATGAGATGATTTTCCCTCTGCTTCAAAAAATACGCACTTACCGTATATACAAAGCCTCTTCTATCTGCCAGCTCCTTATTCTTATGTATCAGAGCGTTTTCTAAGCAACCTCGTACAGTTCATAGACCAACAAAATAAAGCAAGATGGTCATGAATTTTCCAGCGTTGGTTTTGTATCTGCAGGGATTTATTCTGTGTAATCCATTCTTTCCATTCAGTTCTTAACAATTCTCCCAGCTCAAGATTTGGAGAGTTCAACAACCAGTGATTACAGCTCACAGGCAAAAATAAATGAGTCTTGTTGGTAGATTAGGCCAAGGCCCTCAACTTGAGTCTCATCCAAATTGGCAAGCAGCTGATTTGGGAGCTTCCATGGATATTAGCATTTCTAGCTTCCTCACTTTACTATCACTCTGTCTTATTGGTGTGGCTAAGAATCATCATTTTCTCACGAAGCTCTCTTTCCCTCTATTTAGTCAATAAAAAGGGTAGAGGGATTCAAGGAACTTATAAACTTTGTTAGTTTTTTAAAGTCTGTAATTTCAAGAGCTCATTGTATTGCTTTTTTGTTCCATATGGGAGGTTTAGAGGCAAAGAGAAAATAGCCTGAGAGCAGCAATCTAAAATGACTTGGTCATGGCCACTGAAGAGGCTGTAGTTCTAGCCATACAGGGAAAGATGAAGTCTCAAATTGCTCAAGACTTATGCTTTTGAGGTTTTTGTTGTTGTTGCAGTTTTTGGCCAGGGCTGGGCTTGAACCCTCAGCATATGGGGCCAGTACCCTACTCCCTGAGCCACAGGTGCTGCCCCTGCTTGTGAGTTTTTTTAAGAACTGAAAGGGATTCTAGCTACCACACTTCCAGTGATTCTTAACTCTGACAGGACAGCAGAGTCAATTCGAGAGTTAAACAGTGTCTGGGATCCACCCCCAGTGAGTCTGATTTAATTAGTCTGGGGTGCAGCCTGTGCATCAGTTGTTTTGTTGTTCTTTAAACTCCTTAGGTAGTTCTAATATGTTGCTAGGGTTGAAAACCACTTAATCTAAATCTCTGATATTATGGAGAGCAAGGTTAAATGTCTCATTCAAGGTCACCACATCAGATAGAAAAAGAATTATGAACTCAGATCAGGTCAACCTGGATTTAAATATTAATTACTATTTGTATGATCTTGGGACAATTACATAAAGTGTGAATATCTTTTTTTTTCATTTTTAAAATAGGGATACTATTCCCTACCTTAGAAAGGTGGTTGTAGGGTAATTGATAATATGCTGTCTATATTGCATGTGATACAATGATTAGCACTTGATAAGTTCCCCATAAACAGTAGTCATTATAATGTTACTGTTATTTATTATTAAAGATCCATGTTTCCTAATTGCCAATCTGGGGCTTCAGTCTTACCAGAAGTCAAAAGTGGGGTGGTAACTAACACCTGAGCGTCAAAACTCCTAGCACCATTGCTTTGCCAAGATTTTTAGACAAGCCAGGGTTTGAGAAGAAATCTTTTATAGATAAAGGAATCTACAGTTGTGAAGGCACATACAGCATTGACCATGAACACAACCCAGCCACTGACTGACTACACAGGTAAAGAATTTTGAAGAGCATATAGTTAGAGTTAAGTTTTAAAATCATAGACTTTAGAATAAAATCCTGTTTCAGAATAAAAAGTTTTCTGATGTTTACTATTTAGGGGAATTATTAGATGGTAAAGAATCCTTTTGTGAATCAAATAGTCACCTTTTAGCATCATTTGAATTTACCTTTAGGTCCATTGAGAGACTCAAAAAGTGTCTAGTTAGTGCTGCAGTTACATATAACACTGAAAATGCAAAGGCCTCTTCCCCTGGCTACATTTGTGGGATTTAAAAATTCTGTGATGAACTCATCCCCCTGTTTAGATGCTGTGATTCTACAACACAGCAGATTGTGTTGACTATCTGCTAAGTAAAAGGGCATAAAAGCCACTAAGAGTAATGTCAAGAATGCTGGAGATTTATTTATTTTTCTTGGGTAAATGTAGAAAACCTCTTTGATAACATTTGCTGAGATTTAGTTGTATGCCACCAAGCAAGGTAATGGGTTATACTATCTTCCTTAATGGATAGTACCCATCCCTTAATTAACAGCTCCATGTACTTTGTTGTCTGAGCCTGATTTTCTAATCCCACTGAAATACAGTTATCAGGATGTAGTAGCCATAACCCCAAGGGAGAGCAAATTTGAAGCCTACCTATTAATCAGGTAATGTACTAAGAAGCTCTATAGCATCCCAATCACTACTACAGGATGAAGAAAGAGACTGTTCCCATGTAAAAAGATTTATGATACCTGGGAATATAAAAAACTGTAATCTCTAGTCATGGAAAAGGAGGATATCCTAGCAATTTTAATTACATCCAAGCACCCATTCTGGGGAGCAATGTTGGGGCAATCAGCATTAGGATTAGAGTCACTGCTGATCTTTGAGAAGTAAGGCAGGGAGCAATATCAATGACCTATAATCCACATGTAGCTTGCTTTTCAAAGAAGCATCACAGATCACTCAGCTGGTTTGCCAGAATTTATATAGTGTGGCCTCTGAGTTGATTGTATTAAACAGCTCAAGATCGAAGGCCCCCTGGACAATCAGCAGGATTTAAATGTATTTTAATGTAAACCTGACTAATTAGAAAGAATTAGAAAGCTGGTGAATCTTTATTAATGCTCAATTTACCCATTTTCTCTAATTCTCTTAATAGAATTCAGCCCTGAGAGCCAAAATGGGCTCTGCCTGTTTTGATACTATAAAATGAAAAAATTGCACTTGCTCTTTTTTTTGGCTCCTAGTTTCCTATGTGCCTGGACAAAGACAGCAGATGATATTCCATTTATTCCCTGTTCACTGTTATTTCCAAGTAGACTCAAAATGTAACTTCTCCATATAGAAGGTCTAGCAGCTGAAGTGAAAAATCTTGGTGAAATCGACTTTCCTGGAGAGATGGTTCTGCCATCTTTTCTCACCACTGAGAACTGCTAATTCAGAATTCAGTAAACCTCTGATAGCCACCCTGTGAAAATAAAAGTGTGTTCCAAAGAGCTTGACTTGTCATATCGCCAGCTCCTTGGAATCAGAGAATGTTGCTTCTAGAACAATGGGGTGCTCACTCACCATTTATCTTAAGTAGACTGGTGCTTGATTTGATGCAATATAGTTTGATCCCTTGACTTTTTGACCAGGTTTGAGTTTGCCTGGTCTACATTAGACAGGTTAAGTTACTTATCAGAGATCTCATGGCTATTCAGTGGTGGAAAACTGGGATATGAAACCAGGCTTGTGTCTCTCTCAAGTCTGAACACTTAACCGTTATGCTATACTGACTGCTCCAGCGAAAATAACAAAGCTTTAGGTGCTACCTATCATTTTTTTTCTTACTTTTATTAAAACATTGTTAAGGGCTTTTGCCTCTGTAAATAATTATTGTGGTGGCTATATTTTAAATGTAGAGAATCATAATTTTACAGCTGGATGAAGCCTTGGAGGTATCTAGGCTAATTTAACCTAATATGCTTGCTTTATAGACCATAAAAGGACACCCAAGGAGGTTATATGACTAGCCCAAGATCTTGTAGCTAGTTAGGGAGAGAGCTGGGAGCAGAACAATCTCCCTGTCTACTATATCATGATCTCATTTTTTGTACATCTGATGTAGATTCACCTAGGAAAGTCAAGTAGGAAGTTGGCTTTATGTGTCTGTCAGAAAAGAGATATAGAATATAGATTTGGAAGTCATCAGCATGTGGTAGTAATTACTCCATATTCTCTTAGTTTGCTTCCCAGACCTCTGACCCCTCCTTCTGTCACAATCCATTCCTTGTTCCCTCCATCATTCAACAAATTTTTACTGATACCTACTATGTGTCAGATACTTTTTCTATATTCTGAGAATACATGCATGAGCAAAAAAGATAAAATCTCTACTTTTTTAGGGTTTATATTTTATAAATTACATAGTTTGGTAAAAGGCAATATGTATTATATAACAAATAAAAAAGGTAAGTAGAATTAGGAATGTGGCAGGGAGAGTGTCACTTATAAATAGGTTATCAGGGTCACTGAGAAAGCGACAGTTGAGCAAAGAGGTGAGTGTTAGCCATGCAGATACTTAGAGGAACAGTATTAGAGACTGAGGGAGGGGCCAGTGCAAAGGCCCTGTAATGAGAGAATGCCTGGAGTATTCATGGAATAGCATGGAGGTCAGTGTGAGTGATGGGGAGGAGAGTAGGAGACAATGTTGGTGGGGATCATATAAGACCTTCTATGCCATTACAAGGACTTTGGGTTTTATTGTGTTAAATGGGGAGATATTAACAGGTTTTGAGTAGACAAGTGACATGATCTTAGGTTTTAAAAGGATTTCTCTGCCTACTCTGTTGAGAATAGACAGTAGGGATCAGGGTAAAAGAGGAAGACTAATTAAAAGGCTATTGCAATTGTATAGAAAATGTATCATGTCAGGTATAAATTGAATCACAGTAGTGGTTATTGTGAGAGTTGGAAGACTCCAGATATATATTTTAAGGTAGACCAATATAATTTTCTAACAGATTAAATGTGGCATATGGGGGGGGGAAGTAGGCAAGAATGACCCTAAGTTTTGGCCTGTGCAACTGAAAAGATGTTGTTGCTACTTCCTTAGATGAAGAATGATGCTAGCAGAGAAGATTTAAGGGTCAAATATTAGAAGTTTAATTTTGAACATGTTAAATTTGAGATATCTATTTGCCTTTTTGGTGGAGTTATCAAGTAGGCAGTTAGATATGAGTTTGGAGTTGGGAGGTTACATCTGAGCAAGAAATATCAATTTGGGTATCATTGGTGTATGTGGTAGATAGTTTTTAAAGCCATGAGGTTAGATGAGATCATCAAAGGTATGTGTGTTGATGAATAGGAGGTCCAAGGACTGAGCCATGTGGCTTTCTAATGCTAACTCAGGGAACAGAATGTTATCAGCAAAGGAGACTTAGAAGGAACAACCAGTGGAGTGGGAGGAAAACCAATAGTATGGTGTCCTGGAGGCCAAGTGAAGAAAGAATAGCAAAAAGTAAAGAGTAATCAACTGTGTTATATGTTGTCATTAGGTCAATTAGGAATAGAGTTGAGAACTGACCATTGGATTTTGCACAGTAAGGATATCAGTGTTTTTAAGTAAGGGAAATTTTGATAGGGAGGTATAAGGAAAATCATGAATGAAGGGGATTTAAGAAAGAAGAGGAGAAGAACTGGAAACAGCTAGTACAGGTTGTTTTTTGAGGACTTTTATTGCCAGCAGGTATACATACGGAAATGAAAACTCCCTTACCTCTTTTAATTTTGAAATGTTGAATTCCTCTGGATACTGTATATGGTCTTTTCCCTTTCTCGATTCATATAATCTCTTTGGTGGTCTCAGTCATTCATATACTTTTAAATGACTTAAGGTTTTAAGAAGGATGGAGTCAATAATACTAAACATAGTAGAGAGATATAGCAATTTAAGGACTAAAAACTGTCCAATGGATTTATCACCACTATTTAAGTGGAAATGCATTAGAGTGATTCACCATGGAAGTGTTCTAAGAGAGGGTGTACTTGAAGTTTGGTTGGAGGAAAGTGTGAGGAGTATAAAGTTGGGAAGGAGTATAAGGTGGAACCTGACTAAAGGGTGGGTATATGGCAGGTAGAAATGATGGATTGAACAGTCAATGAAGTAGACCAGTGAAAGGTTTTCAAGATTGGGAGTTAGATTATGAATCTGTGAGGAATGGGAGCCCTAGAACAATTTTATGGTTCTGTATATGTGACAAGCACTTGTATAACGTGTCAGGTGGTACAGAGAGGAAGGAATTAATGGCAAAAACACTTTCTAATAAAGCATTAAGAAAACAGACTAGATTGTCAATAAAGAGACTATAAGACTCCCTGAATCACAGGACCTTGCTGAGAGGAATTTCAGAGGCCACTGAGTGCAAAAGAATCTACCAGAGACAGGTAAGATTAAGGAGTAGGGTTTATAACCAAGGTCTTATCAGGCAGGGTTAGTGGGCTGTGGAGAAGACAAAGGGTTTGGTTACATCAAATCCCTGTTTTTCCTGTCTTACCCTGCTCTTCCCATCTCACCTTCACAAAGTGAAGTCTTGGAGCTGTTAACAAAAATGGCATTTTTGCAACGGTTTCAGCATAAAAACTAAGGGAGGTATTTCTCTTAGTGTTTTCCCTGCCCAAGTAATCCAAGCCCCTTTTCAATAAAGTTCAAGTTCTAAAAAGCAAACAGAATACCAGTTTAATCTGTCAGGAATATTATGTTTGAATTCAATTCCAAGGGCAAGTTCCTTCCCAGAAGCCACCACTTTACTTGCACTAATTGCCTTGTCAGCATTCTCAATACAAGGATGAAGAACTAAAAGACTGAGCTGTGAAGGTGAAATATTACCCACTCACTCTGTGGCCCTTCCAACTCAGAACTGAGAAGATTCTGAGTGTGGGAAGATTAAAAATGTATTTGAGAGATGTCCGTCTATTTCTTTCACTAGAGGCTATCAAAAGTTAGAGCCTCTTTAAGCCATATATTCCTACATTCATTTAAAGACTGTTAAACAATGTGATCTATGGGTCATACTCAAGGCACCTGTGCTGTTTGGAAATTTAGAAACTGAACATTCTGTAAAGTCAACTGTTGTACCCAACCTAGACATTACAGGTTATGAGCTATTCCCGTCAGCTTGGACTTGATCAAGACAATGAAAGTCTGGTGCAGATGATTATGTGATAAATGAATGATTAAATCAGCATAATTCTACCTTTTCATGAGCAGGAGGTTTTAAGATGGGCAATGCCTAAATTCATGGCTTTTGACATGAAAAATATACTCACCGGGATCCACACCTTTCTATAATCAAAAAGGAACACACTAAAAAAAAAACGTAAAAAAGGCCATTGCCTATTTAGGGTGCAACCAAGAGTAACTAAGAGTAACTTAGTGCAACTAAGAGTAAGAGACAAAGATTTAACAGTGCTGCTTATTCACCAAGGTTCTAAACACAAATCTAAGAAGGGCCATTTGAGCTGGTAAATGAGGCCTACAAAGGCCATCTTATTCTCCATTCCCTAATTCTCCTGTGACATAATAGCTCTTCTACCAATACAGTCCTCTGAGATGCTGCCCTCCTGGATTTCTTATTGGTCTGGAACAATGTCTGCTGTTGACAACCAAGTTCAAAAATCAGAAGTAGGCATTAAGACCATTTTTCACTAGCACAAGGGGCCAAGATGATCTGTCCAGCCAACCCTGACTGATTCTAAAATCCTCTCAGCCATGAGTAGACTATACTAAGTAGAATCTGGGTCTCTGCCAGGTCTTGATTCTATGATTAACTGATTCCCATTTCAGGTAGAAATGAAATATTTGTCTAAAGTCATATGTCAAAGGTTCATATTTATCTTGATAAGGCAAGGCCATTTGATCTATGACCTACACCCCTGAGTTTATCCCTTAACAAACAGTAACCTTTGCATTGCAGTGGCAGCTCTGTTGGTATGCCACCCAGCACCACTAGAACTGTGGAAAAGTCATTAATGAGGCTTAGGTCACATGCAGAAGCAGCTTCTACTCATTTAAAGTATTTAAAACCCCAAATAGATCTGAAAGAAAAGCTTGAGTCAATTATTACTGTTGCCACATTTTAACTGAAATATGGCCACCAGATCCTTACAGATATTTTGAAGCAAATCTAAGGAGAAGCATATTCATTGCTGACAATTCAAATCCCTAGATTATTTCCACATTGATCTATTGACTAGATTGCTACAAGCACTTTGACTTAGTCTCAGTGTTCCTCTTTGCCCTTCCAATAAGATGAAACACACCTCACTTGCATGTTGCAGCCCATTAGTTAAAGAGTAGTTCGAGTGTGAATAGGTGGTAGCAGTGGAAGAGAAGATTCTCAGCACCAAATATATATAGTCATGTGTGTTAGGTAGGCTCAGATCACACTCTATGTCCGACATCACCAGTATGTGGGCCAGTTATGAAAAGAAAAGTCTGCAAATGATTCAACACACTTGAATTCTTTACCAGGAAGCTTAGAACCATGTTGTATCACTGGTACTATAACCAGCACACAAAAAACCTACTGGTCTGTGCAGAAAATTCAGCCTTATTTAGTAAAAGAAATTTTTCTTGCCTTCTGTTTTTTAGGTGAAGCTTCTGTGCATGCATCTATTACGCCCCTGGGTATTGTTTCAGAAAAGAAGCAAGTTTCTTTATACACTGAAACATTGTGACTTGTGTAGGGAAAAAAGAAGAATATTACTTGGATTTGGAGGGAAGAGTGTGCAGCTTTTACAGTGTATGATCTCCTTTACTACTGGCATATCTGGCGGAATTGGTGGAGGTACTATTCCCAAACCAGGCATCATTGGAGTTATTGGTGGAATCCCAGTCATCATTCCAAGAGCAGGATCAAAGTCTAGAAAAGGAAAGGGAATAGAGAACATTAGATGACACCAGGCAAGGTTAATTGGAGACACAATGTTACCTTATAAGATCATATCAAAGGTCTTTCTGTAAGACAGGGCAAACTACTTTGTATTTCAAAACCATGGTACTTAGTATTCTCAAGTTTTAAATATCATGCTATAGTTATGTATTTCCCTTTTGGGACAGGGCTGTTTGGTTTGTTTGATCAGGGCCTATTTAAGTCTCTGTCTCATGTTGAAGTCTTTCATAGCATGACTGTGCCTTGTCTATTGATCTTATCTCCACTCGTGTTCCATTCCAACAAAGCTTCTTGCTGTCCTTTGTATATACTTCCTGTTTTTAAAGTAAAACATGATGTTAAGAGCCCATGGTTTGGGCAATCAGGTAGATCTAGAAGTTCTACCATTTGCTTAGCAGGACAAACTTCTGTTTCCTCACCTGCAAAATAGGCTTAACATCACCTACCTTAAAGGGCGATGTGAGGAGTAAACAAAATGACAAATTTAATGTTCTTAATACAGTATATAGTACAAAAAGGTTCAACAAATAACTACTCTCTGTGCCTCTGTTCATGTTGTTTTTCCTGCCTGGAGTTATTTGAGCCTTCTCAAATTCTCTCCATGCTTTAAGGCCTGGCATAAGTGTCACCCTCCTTGAAGAATCCTTTCCAGAGAATTCTGGTTCATTCTTAACTCTGTATTTAAAAAGTATTTGTTCTATACTCATTGCTACTAGATTTTATTTTATTTTGCCTCATCCTTTGTTTTTTTTTTTTTTTTTTTTGAGACAGAGCCTCAAGCTGTCCCCCTGGGCAGAGTGCTGTGGCATCACGCTCACAGCAACCTCCAACTCCTGGGCTCAAGCGAGTCTCCTGCCTCCGCCTCCCAAGTAGCTGGGACCACAGGCGCCCGCCACAACGCCCGGCTATCATCCTTTGTTTTATTCAAGGATGCCTCTAGAATGTGTGAAGGCACTTGCACAATTTTGTTTTTCTTTGTAGGGCCCATGTATGTATGCAATTTGATTCATTTGAAATCCGTATCAATAGCATTTTGGTAGCAAAATTTCACACAATTACCATGTAATAAATTCCACATCAGCCAGCTAAAGTGGCTTGCCAGACTATTCTCTTGGAACCAAGACTCTGGCGAGGTTTCCATAAGCACAAGTCCTGAAGCTTCTTGGGACATCTAGTTGACTACATATGTGGGGTAGAGGACTAGAGAGAGTACCTCAAGGGGGAGAAATATGGTCTGGGACACACATGGGTACAGTTGAAGATTGGGGCTTCTTACTCAGATGACACTACTAGTTCTAATTAGTCCTAGACACTGGAGGGAACTTATAAAATTTCAAGAAAGGGGGCGGTGCCTGTGGCTCAAAGGAGTAGGGCGCCATTTAACAGAGGTGGCCCCAGCCAAAAACTGCAAAAAAAAAAAAAAAAATCAAGGAAGGTACTGCTTATGACCCGAACATAGGTAGGACCTGCTTTGGACCATAACATAGGCAGGTCATTTTCAGAGCACCTGCCCTGATGGCACTGCTTGCCTGGTCAGAGCTCAGAATTGGAGGGGGACGTAGAAAATAGGGAGTTAGGCATTCTAAAGCACAGGACAGCCTGAGAGGTGGGTCCAGGACAGGAGCCCCACTCGCTTTGGTCTAAAGGTGACACTGATTTCACTATTTAAATTTTGTCTCTATGTTAAAATGTCATTTCATTGAGAGAAGGGAATGTATTTTACTTTTTTGTTTCCCCACTTCCCACCTCTGCCTTCACTATAGGACCATGTACAGTGGACTATAAACAAACAAAGTATTGCAGAAGGAGTGCTGGTAATGCAGTTGCACGTGTAGTAGCAGTAGCAGGCCAGGCCCTACTCCCAAAGATTTTACCATGCTCACTACACAGGCCAGAGAGGCAATGCCTGTAAACATGTCCTCAAAGTGGCCCCGATGTCCCGGGGTAGCTCTCTCAGATGCTGGAAAAAGTGGACTTAAATAGCAGGAAGAACCAGTGATTCCCACGGAAGTAGAACTTGAGGTCCAATAAGCCCAATAAGAGGGAGTCCTGCGACCGGGCAGGGTAGCAGATAGTATATGGGCATTCTTCATTACAAAGCCAGCCTAAGCAAGCGAGGGCATTCCTCATCTTCTCATATTTCTGCCATCCTGACATATCAAGGCTCTAGAAATATTTGGGGAAAAAATTTTTCCCAAGAGGAATTTTTATTCTTATGAAAATATTTACTTTTATCCCTCTTATGTCATTTCACCCCACATACACACATACCCCTCTTCCCTCCTTCCTGTGGTTCTCTTATCTCTACTCTTCTCCACATAGTAGCTACACGACCTTGAGAAAAGTTTCATAAGGTTCTTCATATGTGTGTGCCTCCATCTCCTTTTCAGTAAAAGTGGTGATAAATAATGATATTTAGCTTAAAGGATAGAAAGGTCAGAGTAGATAGGAAGACTTCTAGCATGATAGGTAGTCCTGAAGGGTAAGTTCCCTTCCTGCCATTCAAAATGTGCAAATCTACACCAATACATTTACTGATTCAGGCATTCATTCCTACATTCTACAAACATTCATGATAGGCTTCCTGTATGTCAGACTCTATGCAGGCATGTGTCAGGTGGTATCTAAGTTTCCCTTATGATCTTGGAGATCTTAAGGGTTCTGATACCCTGTCTTCCTATGCTATAGAATAAGAGCACTGTGGTTAAGAATGCCATTTATGGGCTCGGCACCTGTGGCTCAAGTGGCTAAGGCACCAGCCACATACACCTAAGGTGGCGGGTTCGAATCCAGGCTGGACCCACCAAACAAAAAAATGACGGCGGCAACCAAAAAATAGCCAGCGTTGTGGCGGGTGCCTGTGGTCCCAGCTACTTGGGAGGC